AATTTCGACAATGTCAAATCTCTGCAATTGCCTAAATTCTCACAGAGTTACGACAATAACAATTATTAATGAGTATTTTAGAGTATGAGTGTGCGTTCAACCACATCCACCTTGATGATGCAATGTGAGTCAAAATACAAGAAAATTAAAGTATAAGAAAAGAAACGACAAAGAGGCGCTTATATAAAAACGTAAATCATGTAAGAGTAATGGATAATAAAATATTCGACAACAATTATTATTATCATAATTCCGAAAGAATTTTAACAATTGCGGACACTTGATGATACTGTCGAAATTTCATAGAGCCGTTATGATCAGAATACAAATAATCAACAAAAAGTGTATCTCACATCTATGGAACGACTATCGGACACAGACTACAAAATTTCGTTGAAATTAAGAGTACAGTTCAAGTCCAATTCTAGTCTAATTAATGATAATAATCAGCTTGAATGAATTCGGATAACTTTTTATTGGATAAGTCATGTCACTAATACCAATAGAAAAGAAAAGTTTTTCTCGAACATCCATAAATCAATTATCTTTGACTCAAATCTACTATCATGTATTTAAAAAAATTAATTTCACTGTTCTTTAAATTTTCTCATAGCTTACTTTTTTGATGATTATCATTATTATTAGATTTATTTTCTATTGTTAATGAATCATTAGTTGTTTGTTGTAAATTTGCTGGTGTAAATGGTGGTAATGTTCTTAATTGTTCATTAAATGATTGATTAGCAACTTTTTTTATTTCTTGTATTAAATTAGGATTATTTGCTAATGATTGTATACGTTCAAGTTCTGATGGATTACTAGCTAATTCACGTAAATGTTCAAGTGCTTTTTGTGTATCTGTATTAATACGCATAGGAGTTTTTGTTGGACTTAATGTTGTTAAACATTCTGTTGATGATGGTGAAAGTAATTTAAGATTTTTTAAATGTAAATTCATTTGATCAATATGTGTTTGATTATCATGTAAATTTTGTTCTAATCGACGATCAAATTTTGATAATTGTCGATTAAATGATTTTTTTATTTTTGGATGATGTTGATTATGATGAAATGGTGGTATAAGAGATTTATTTGATATACGAAGATTATTTGATGATGATTGATTTGATTCATTTGTTGATGTTGAAAAAAAATTTATTGTTTGTGTTGGAGCAGGTAATGTTAAATTTGTTGTGGTTGTGGTTGTTGTTATTGTTATTGGTAATGTTGATTGATCATCTTGTTTAGCTGTTGATGATGATGATGATGTTTCAGATGATGAACTTGATGTTGAAGATGATGATGTTGTTCGTTTTTTTTTACCACTGATTGTTGATGGTGATGGAAGTGCATTTGAATCTACATAATCATTAACTTGTTGTCGATAATCTTGATTGATTTTTAATTGTTGTTGTGCTTTATCATGTAGTTCTTTTTCAACATGTTGAAGTTGTTCTTAATAAAATATGAGAGAAAGATCTTTGTTTCTGTACTTTTTTTGTAAATGGATTAAACAAAAAACAATAAAGATTTATTTTTCTTAAGTTCTTTCAGCTGACTATTAATAATAATTTGAACTCTACAAAATGATTTAGCTTCAAATATGTTTGTGTATTATCATTCAATCGAATTCACTCAAAAATAATTCCAGTTAGTTTAATGATAAACTTCTATCTTGAATTCCATTTTGAAATTTTTCTTTTTTTTTGTTTGAATCAATTTACTCTATCGAAAATTTGATAAAACTCTATTGAGAAGAAAAAATCTAACTTGATCGATAAATTACAATCACATGAAAATCCGTCTCTTTCCTTTTGAGAATCATTTAGATGAAAAATAAATCGAATATTAGCCAACAAATTAATATACTTAAAAGAAGGTCAAAGTCAAAAAACAATGATTTTTCAATATATGATTCTTTCTATTTTATCAACGGATAGATTTTATAATCACTAGAGAAATCTCAAAATTTGACGCATAGCAAACATATCCTTGTTAAGACATTTACATTTTAAAGAAACGCCTATTTTAAGTTGTATTTTAAAAGAAGAACGTTTCTATAACAAGCTGATGTCTGGATACGAATATGTTTATCCTAGCTCAAACTTTCGAGTGTTTCTAGTGACTCTGAAGCCTACCCGCCGGTGAAATTTGAGTTCGAAATTCGCTCATATAGATTCTCAGCTATTCTATGCTCGTAGCACAGCGGATAATTTCTATCGAGCACGTGGACATGACTGATTTTCTGTCAAAAACGAATTTTTCCATAGAAACATTACCTTCTTGTACTCAAAAATAAGAACGATAGAAAACTCCTGAGGGGAATCCTTACCCTAAACTGCTGCAAAAAATTATTTTAAAAATTGACGAATGCTACATCACTCGATGCAATTTTTCACGCTCATTCCGAATTTCCTCTCAAAATTCTTCTATGACAAAGAAATCGCGAAAAACTATTAAAAGTCAAATTTTTAATGGAACATGCATATCAGTACACAAGCATTTGCGCTAAGTGTATGTCTCAGATATAGAAAAAACATTCTCTAAAAGTTTCGTTCACACAGGATTAGTAGAAATAAGTAACGATCAATTTTACTGAAAACGTCTTTTTGGAAAACGAATAATTATTTTTTTCAGAACGAAAATTTTTCTTATATATCAATAGAGGAGAAATCCTAGTTTTATATTTAAAAAGCTATAATAGATTTATTCTAACGAATCCAACCAATATAAATGATTGGACTTAAGAATGTTTTTTGTGAAACACGATCTGACAGGATTATTGAAGTATATAGGGTAGAAATTTGGATCTATCCTTCCTTCTCTCACAGATCGTGACAGACGACCACGTGACTTGTCGCAGACGCCCTTCGCATCCATCACAGACCGTGATAGATGGACTCCAAAGATCATCACAGATTGTGATAGACGTCCTCTGAACTTATCTCAAACTGTGACAGACGGGCTTCATGCCCATCACAGACTGTGACAGATGTTTTTGACGCATGATTACTGATTATATATCATTAAGCTCTTATAAAAGTATATAAACTACTTTCTTTTCGAATCCTGGAGGATAAATAAAAGTTGATGAAAAATGGATCCACAGATAGATTGAATAAAACAATATTCTGGTGATTAGTAACAACAGTTATATTGTATTTCACGTTTTAATCCTGCAGAGATTACGGTATTTGATAGATTTAGAATTAGTTTTACGAAGTTTAGTAAAGATAATCATTCGATAATAAAATTACCAAGTATTTGAAGTTTTTTTGCTTGTTGAACATTATTAATATCTGAATTTTGATTTGATATTATTGATTGTTGAAGTGTATCATTAGTTAAAATAGGTGATGATGGTCGATCATTATTTGACATTGAACATGTTGTATTATCTAAAGAAAATTATATTTAAAAAAAAATTAATTTCTTCTTTTTTTTTT